GTTTGGACTACAACGCATATTTTCCGGGATTTGTGATATCACAAATATTGACGAATGGGACGAGACCTGGTTGAGCCGCACTAGAGAAGGCAATGAGTGTTATCACTATGTCGGAGACACGCTAGCTTTCCCAAGGCAGACGAACTTAGAGTGGTTACAATCATCCGGGTTTAAATCACGCTCAAATTGATTTGATTTTGATGCAATATTTACACTGAAGCTCGTAGGCGGCTATGGTAAGGGGATGACATTTCCCGACCAGGCGCCGAGTGCTGCCAATCACAACACACACTGGCCAGCTAACCAATCACAGCACATTTTGTGTTTCAGAAGGCGGGCCTTCATTTGATACAGGAACTATTCGAGCCGCTCATGTCAGACTGGGGAGAGAGGTGTTGTAATAATGTAAAATATGTGAAAAATTCGAAATTGTTCAAACAACCTAGTATGAGAGCATGTTCTAGTACACGCCCAAAACGAAATCAAGACTTTGTAAAAGAGCATAATAGGACCCCTTTAAAAAGACAGTGTGATGAGGGTGAACTACAACCGATATGAACCAGCGGACAATGTGAGGCCATTTCTACAAGTAACAACCAAGTAAACCAGGGGGAAATGGACAGGTTTTGTAGATGGCTAATATTAATTTCCTGTGCCAGAAACTGATCTTTTGCCGCTCAAGGCTGCTTGTCAACAGCCAGCTTGCAGGAAGTCTACACCTGTAAATAATGGGCTAACTTTTAAATAATAGGCTTGTCTTCCCCAGGGGAACGAGAGAAATTGGGTGATTTGTGGCTGAAGTGTTCCTATTTGTACCGTCACATCGACAACAATTCATCAGCATCCTGTAACCAAATCACAGAGAAACAGCGCTAGCTGTAATAGGCAGATGAAAAGGAACTGGAGTGTGTGTGTGTGTGTGTGTGCGCATGCGCATGTGTGTGTGTGTGTGTGTAAGTGTGAGGAAGTTGATGCTGCAGTTTTTATTTATCCTTCAAATTTGAACAGAACAGACAAGCATAAATACACAAACAGAGCCACACAATACAAATATTCAGTCAATCTTTGTGCATTTCAGGGTTCAGGGTTTTATTTAGATTGAATGTGTTGTTGTCTAAACTAAAGCTGATAAAAAAAAATTGCCCACGATTTCAAGCCTTTGATTAGTTATGAACAGACTGTACAAACAGTTATGTAGCTGCAATATAATAGCAAATGTTTTTTTTGTTTGTTTTTTTGTATGTGTGTATTTCTAAGTCAGCTGTATTCTACTTATAAGGAGATGTCTGACCATTTTTGTTTTGATGCCTTTTTTTAAGTGCAATATATTTATTTCAGCTATAAAAAAGATATGGCTATAATGTAATATTTTAAGCAATGATAGATGTTATTTGTAAACAAAAAGAAATATATATCACCCCAAAATAATGTTGTGAGAGTGTGATTTTTGCATTGCTGTTTTATGCTGCCCTCAGAATCATTGTATTAAATAGCTATAATATATATACACCCTTAAAAATAAAGGGTCCTAATTGGCATTGATGGTTTCATGAAGAGCCTCTAACATCCATGGAATCTTTCAGTGCCACAAAAATGTTCTTTCGATTATTAAAATGTTTCGTCACACTATGAAAAAAATGGTTCTTTTCAGAAATCTTCACCGAAAAGTTCTTTGGGGAACCAAAACTGGTTCTTCTATGCCATTAATGTAAACCCCCATTTCTGAACCTTTATTTTAAAGAGCGTAGCAGCATATTGAAATTCATCTCAATTTTAAGCTTATTTACAGTATGAAATTTGCTCTGAACTGATATATGGTAAATAAAAAAAACTGACAGTTTGACCCTTGCATAATCTATAATGTAAAATGACATCTAATTGAAAGTTGATTTATTTTTATTTACATTTAATAATAAAGACGCTTTTATACAAAGTGACAATATAAGCAATCAAACCAACAAAAGAGCAACAACATATAAGTGATATAAGTCCCGGTTAGTCTGACGCAGTACATGTAGCAAGGGTTTCTTTTATTTTTATAATAAATAGAAGGAATAAAAAAGTAGATAGAGCTAGTGTTAGAGGGTCAAATTATTATTATCTTTTATAATAGTTAAAAGTAGATAGAATAGAAAAAGAATAGAGAACGCTAGTGTTAGAGGGTCAAGTTTTATTTTTTTAAATAAACAGAAAACAAGTAGATAGAATAGAAATAGAATAGAGAGTGCTAGTGTTAGAGGGTCAAGGTGTGTCTTTAGCTGCTTCTTCAGCTGCTCAGATGGAGTTGGGCAGATCATGCCACCAGCAGGGAACAGGTAAGGTAAAAGTCTGTGAAAGTGTTTTTGTGCCTCTTTGTGGTTCACAATGAAATAGCTTTAAGGATGATTATCATTCCATAAGGTTCCAATGAAATGTTTTTCAGATATTTATCTCTGAAATGTTGATTGCGCTCAATGTATTTAATATGAAAATCTAAATGTTCACATTCCTTTAGTCAACTATTAAATATTCTTACCAAAAATTACACACAAAATGACATTTTGATTGACAAGTGTGGCTTCAAAACCTTTTAATTCTGTGAAACTGTAAAAAGAAATGCTACATTTTAACATATTTATTTATTTATTTGTTAATTTTTTTTATTTATGTTTTTTGTTTTACGAACACAGTTTGTATTAACCAAAACCCAATTTTCTGTCACTTCAGAATCTTTATGGTCCATGTTTTTTTTTAACAGCGCATTTATTGATTAGCTCACATAAATGGATTTGCTAGCTAAATCCCCAACAATTATCTGCCTGTTTCTGACTAATCATACACAGAGGTGACACCAATTATTATTTATTATTCTGTATGCGTTATTTGTTAGGCATGACGCTGCAGGGCAGGAAATGTCTGAGGCATCTGTAGCATAATTCTGAAAATAAAGATGGCCTCTCTATCACACGGCCATGGACAAACCAACAAATCGATAGCAGGTCGTTAGTCACCGTTTCACCAGGAAGAAAAGGCACTTCTATCCTCTGATAAAAATCAGTTACATCCTTTGAAAATAAATAAGCAAATAAATAACATCCAGTGAGAGGGTGATTGGATTAAAGAGATAGCAGAAGGGCGGTCTGAGGCCGTGAGCTATGGAGAAATCAATTGAAAGGAACAGTTCACCAGGGAGTCCATTTTAAGGAATAAGAGTGTAATTTACACAGCAAGGACTGCCAGCTAAATCTAATGTAATTTCATTCAGTTTTGCATGTTTTTTCTTTCCCGCCATGATTTTTTAATTTGTCCATAAGACAAAAGGAGCACATTTCAGTGATATGTGCAGGAATGGAAAACTGTCCGCTGTCGTTACCAGTGAATTAAGGTTAACCCACATCCCTGTCAAAAAGAGTCCAACACTTTTTTTCTTGAATACTTGGAGCGCCTTCTTACACTCTCCTATTTCTCATTTAATAGAGGTTAGAATTTGTATAGGTGTATGGTGTAAATTGCGGAGACTTTGGCTATTTTGTCACATTTTTTTTACTCCAGTAAATATTTCTCAGTCTGGGATTATTTTATAAGCCAACTAAAAATTACATTTTACATATTTTATTTGTAACATCTCCACCATTATTGCCAACGCCCCAATAACATGGAATGTTGTCACAATATATATATCTTATGTTCTCCACGGTTGTAAAACAATAATATTGTGAAATATTATTACAATAAAAAAAAAATTAAAAGTTGTTTTATATTTGAATGTATTACTATAACAAGAATAAATTAATCAGATAATTCAAATAAATAAATGCAGCCTTGGTGAGCATAAGAGGCTTATATATATATATATAT